AATCGTCTACGTATAGACAAAGAATGATCACTCCTTCATTTGTATCCATTTTCACATAAACTCCATGTTCGGATACACAATTCTTGAAGCCAACCTCAATTAGGAAACTGTTTATCCTTTTGTTCCAACCTCTTGGAGCTTGTTTCAATCCGCATAACACCTTTCTCAACTTGTAGAACCTTCCTTCTTGGTTTTTCACAACAAAACCAGGATGTTGTTCTACATACACTCCTTCTTTAAGCAGACCATTCAAAAACTCGAATTTCACATCTATTTGATATATGGTCCAATTGTTGTTATTCACAATTCCAACAACTAGCCTCATGGTTTCAATTCTAGCAACCAATACAAATACCTCATCAAAGTCTATGCATTTTCTTTCCAAAATCTCTTTGTAACTAATTGAGTTTTATGCTTGATTATTTCACCTTTAAGATTTTCTTCATCTTATAGACCATCTTACATTAATCGACTTCTTTCCTTTCGGTAGATCAACCAACTCCCAAGTATTGTTTTTCTCAATCGATTCCAGCTACTCTTTCATAGCACAAATCACTTTGGATCACTCAAGGCCTCTTCCATATTAACGAGTTCAGATTCGTCCATAAGTGTAAAATGGACAAAATCACCATCATTATTGACTTTGTTATCATGGAATATCTCGCAATCTTGGAGTCTTGGAGGAAAACCTCTTTGCCTAGTTAGTCTTCTTACATTTTCATTAGTTCAGGCTTCAATGCACGACGCTTCTGCACTTTCCGTTTCTCCATAATCTGAAATTTCAAAGTTGTAACCAGTTACAACTTTCTAGTAACCGGTTACAGGATGTTGGGTAACCGGTTATATCCTGCTCGTAACCGGTTATAGATTGTTGCACTTGCTTTAACTCATTGCTCATAACATCTCGACTGATCATGATCCTTCTATTTCCAGCATCAAATAACTTGTAACCTCCACTGGAGTGATATCTTACTAGTATTATCATCTCTCCCTTATCATCCAACTTCTTTCTAAGATGGTTTGGAACATATTGATACACCACAGAACAAAAAATTCTCAAATGATTCAGATTCAGTTTGAATTCAGACCATGCATCTTCCGATGTTATCTTCTCAAGATTTTTATTGGACACATATTCAACAAATACACAGCTATGGATACCGCTTCTCTCCATAAATCTTTCGGCAAGTTCTTCCATTTTAACATGCTTCTCACCATGTTCATAATCGATCATTTCTTTCTTTTGGAAACATCATTTTGTTGTGGTGTATAGGGTGGTACTGCCTTATGCACTACCCCCCGTTCATCACAACACTTCCCAAAATCATTTGAGACATATTCACCTCCACCATCCATTTTGAGAATGTTAAGCTTGTGACAGCTCTGTGGCTCAACCATGGACTTGAACTTCTTAGACACTTCGAATACATCATCATTTATCTTGATTAGGTATGTCCATAGCTTTCTAATATAATCATTGATAAAAGTGACAAAATATTTATTGCCATCCAATGAATCAACTTGCATCGACCCACACACATCAAAATACACCACCTCAAGGTTATGCTTGGCTCTACAACCTGCATCCTTGCTGAATTACCGTAGTGTTACTTTGTTTGCACACACTCTTCACAAATTTCAACTGGTATGTTGATGAATGAAAACTCGGTTTCCATTCCATTCTTTTGCAATGCACTGAGATCTCAGAAATTGAGATGCCAAATACGGTAGTTCCACATCCACTCTTCTCGACTTGCCGCTGAAAGACACATATGCTCCATAACCTTAAATTCAATCTTGAAAGTTCTATTGGCATCCATATGAACTTTAAGGACCAAAACCTCGTTTGCATCCAAAACACGCAATGTCTTGTCTTCTATACGAAGCTTGTATCCTTTCTCAAGCAATTGACCAATACTTAGAATGTTACACTTGATTCCTGAAATGTATAATACATCTTTGATCAAGGAATTTCCACCATGCCTCTTCATGATCAAAACATCATTGATCCCATCAGCCGTTAAAGCGGTGTCAACCACGAATTTCACTTTATTCTTCGTGGCTTAATTGATTTTGACAAACTAATCTTTCCTCCTCGTCATATGTGTATAATAATCGGGATCCAAATATCATTCCTCACTACATTGGACTCCTTCTCTCACAGTCACCATACTATTTTATTCTGCATGTAATCGGTTGATGTCTTTACGTGACCAATTACTATACATTTCTGCAGCGTTCCTAGAACTATTGGTGTTGTTGTCCCGCAACATGCTGCTAATGCATTCACCTTCTGTGATTATGACCAAGAGTGTATTCTCTTCATCAAACTATTATCTCTTAACCTTGGCTTCATCTCCTCGAGATTCCTTCTTATTTACGTTGCAATCTCTTGCAAAATGACCAAACTTTTTGATAATTATAGCATTGCGCCTTGCTCTTATCATACTTTCCTCTTTCGTCTGTAAAGTTGTCTTGACCACCATTTTTGCTGCAGCTGCTCTCACCCTTTTAACAAGTCGAATTCTTTGAATTTTGATATACTTTTCCACCAAAATTCTGAAAATTCCTTTGACTCTTCATGAGCCATTTTTCTTTCGATTTGTTCTTCTTATTAAACTGAGCTTGCAAAGCGATCTCCGCCTTTGCCTTGTTGTTATTTCTCCCCTTCACCCTTTGCTTGCGAGCCTCAAGAGAGCTTTGAAGCTCATCTTTGCTCAACTTCACAAGATCCTTCGATTCCTCAATCGCCACTATAATGTTGTTAAATCTTGTCGTTAAAGAACATAAGTTTTTCGACACAACATTTTACTCGAAAACAATTTCTCCATGTGGCTTTATTTGGTTCACCAATCGCGTGATTCTCGTTATGTAATCGTTGATCGTCTCCTTTTCCTCCATTTGAATAAATTCAATTTGACGTTTGTGAGTTTGTAACTTCACCATCTTTTCCTTATTAACTCCCGCATATGTCTTTTCTAAGATTTCTCACGCTTGCTTTGATGGCTCGTAATCACCAACTTTCTCAAAATTGTCACCATCCACACATTGATGGATCAAAAACAGTGTCTTGTAATCTTTCTTCTTTTCTTCCTTATACGTTTCTCGTTGTGCATCCGTTGCACCTTCGACAAGGGGATTCACCCCATTCTTGATCACTTCAAGAACGTCTTGATAGCCAAACAATGCCTTCATTTGCATGCACCATTTGTCGTAATTCTACGCATCAAGGAGAGGTAGGTTTGTTGGGACTCTACATTAGAGACAAAATTCATTGTTGCACATTATGTTTTTGCGGATCAGGAACATGCTCTTGATGCCAAATATTGGAACATTCAATCACAAGATTAATAAACAATGGAGGGTTTGAGTATGTAGAGAAACAGATAGTGAGAAAGAAAAGAACTAGAGAGAGATAGATAATTGAGGGTGAGAATTATTAATTTTATTCAAAATAATTCAGTATAATTCGATGTACATTACAAATATACCACTAGGGTATTTATACAACAATTAGAATACAAAAGCATCAAGCCAAAAATCAGAAAATACAATTTGTCGAGCCTGTAACCGGTTAACACAAATTTGTAATCGATTACAAATGTTACAAAACAAAAAATAACTATCAACCGTAACCGATTACTATATTTACGTAACTGATTACACCAATCTCAAAGACACTTTTCTACCGTTTATTTGATTTTTTTTTATACTTATAACTAATTACACCCCTTATTAATTTATTACACCAACTTAAATTACCAAAATCTTTTATCAGAAACTAATAGTAGTAAATTCGTCATAGAAGAAACTATACATTCATCATACTTAAAAAAAAAATCAAACTTTTTTTATTAATTGCTAAACTTGTGCTTTAGCAAGACTTCTATTAAAAAAAAGCACTAACTAGGATTTCATTTGAACAAGAGAAAATTCATTCACAAAAGTAATATATATATATATATATATATATATATATATATATATATATATATATATATATATATATATATATATATATATATATATATATATATATATATATATATATATATATATATATATATATATATATATATATATATATATATATATATATATATATATATATATATATATATATATATATATATATATATATATATCATGTGTAAATCTAAAAAACTTATATTATAAAAAATTTACATTAAATCTCAATCTTTAATAGAAATAAATTAAATAATTATATAAATAGTCTTTTCATTAGAGAGAAAAAAATAACCATATTTTTCTTTAACTTTTTTATTTTATTTAATATAATTATTTAATTCAATTATATCAACTATTGAGATTTAATATAAAACTTTTAGATTCACACATGATGATGTCAACGGATCCCGAATCATCCCTTTTTCCTAAATAAAAATATAAAAAACACATTTTTCTTATTCTAAATTATAAATAAAAAAATCAATAATCAATTAAATTTCTTCTCTATCCTTTTGTCCATAGTCAAATGTAGCTTATCCATGTTATAGATTTCTTCCTACTCAATAATCAATTAAAATTATTTTTTACATTTTCTATGAAAAATACAAAAAGTCTTAAATTAAAAAAATTATGTTTTAATGTTGTAATTTTTATTTTATTTTTCTCGGAGAATGAAGGGGTACTCAAGGGACAAGGATTTATTTTTTCATGCACATGAAAATTTGAAAATTAAATTTGAAAAGTCACAATTTTTCAAAAACCTCTAACTGAAACGCCTTTATACATTTCCAACTATTTTTAACGGTCACTCAGCCTCTTTCACCCTTATATAATTCCCATCACATTCCCACAAAAATTTTCACAGTTTATTCCGTTTTCTGTTTCTCCACCATTCAAAGAACTCTGTCTCAAACTCTTCCCAGTGGCGGCGCTTTATTCTTCCGGCGCCGCTACTGCCATTACAACATTTCCATAAGTTTCAAGTTCTTTGTTTACATCACCATAAATAAAATAACAAAAAAAATTCAAACATGGAAGATCTCACGTATCAATTCAATGACCCCTATGAATGTTCCATTGATCCAAGTTTCTTCATTATGAGTAACCCCACACTAGACGATTTAGTCATTAACAACATTGACATTAACAATGGATCCACTTCAATGTTTCAACAAAATGTAACTAATTTATCCATTAACAACAATAATCTACCCCACCAGAATCACCATGCAGTGTTTCAAGAAAACCACCATGATAGCATTAGTGATTCATTTTTCGATGGAGTGCCTCAAGAAATGCATGAGGATCAAACAATTCAACCTGTAAATCAGATTCCGGTTTTACCTAATGGAACCGATGCAATGACAATTGATCAATGGCCTTCTGCACCACTCCCATATTTTTGCAGTTGTTGTCAACTTCTCAGAGAAATCATACACGCTAATGGTTAGTTAGTCTTTAATCATATATAACATGCAGCACGGACACTTCTAAAAAAATTGTCCATGTTAATGTTGATGTCAGAAACTGAAACCAATATTTATGATTATGTTTTATTTATTTACTTTTTTAAATTATTACCGATGTGTCATGTCTCAGTGACATCGTGTGTCTGTGTTTGTGTTTCATGATCTTATACATGTTTTCTTTGGATGGTGAATGAATAGGTGTTCAATTTGAAAAGCTTGAGATTCATGGAAGGCTAGGTTTGATTACACATGCAATTCATCATCAGACACCTGTTAATGGAAACCCACCAATCAACCAAATGATTGAGTATGTTCTAAGTCTTATAATACCACTTTTTTTATTATTTGCATGTTATGGAAAATTGAAATAATCAAAAAACTTTCATCAGTTTTAGCAGGAGAAACCTTGAGGAAATAAAGAAATTTCTGGCACAATACTGCATGGATCGTATTTTAGCAGGATATTTTATTCTACAAGATCCCTTGTCTTCATATTATGAGACTCTTTGCACTGGATTGGATTGGGTTGAAGATTTTAACATTGATGGTATTCTTGATAATAATAATCAAAATAATTCAGGTTTGTCCCGGAAATCATGAAGGAAAATGAAAAGAAAAAAGAACTTGTATATATTTATTTAATGGTAAATTCTTTGTTATTAGTAGTATAACTGAGTTAGAATGGTTATTATTATGTTTATAGATGAGATGGCAGAACAAGAGCAGCAAATGGGTGAGAATGGAACTCCTACCGCAACACTTGATAAAAAGAACCTCTCGAAACAGAGGAAAAAAGCGGGAAAATTGACATTAACTAATTTATGTGATCATTTTCATCTACCTATTGAGGAAGCATCGGAAAAAGTGGAATTGTGTCCAACAGTTCTCAAGAAAACATGCCGCAAAGCAGGATTAACAAGATGGCCTCACAGAAAGGTATGTCTGGTGTCTGACAATGTGTCAGAGTCAATGTCGTGTTTGGTGTCTGTGTGTTGTAGGTTTGTTGTAATGGAAATTTGTTTTAGTTAATTTGATGAGTATGTTAAAATGAACAACAGGTGAAAAGCCTTTTGAAGCAGATAGCATTGCTAGAAAGTCAAATGGGAAGACAAGATGCAGCGACAAGGGCAAGGACTGAAAAGGATATTAGCGAGCTTAAGGAAGAAATGATTAGGCATTGTGGTGGACTTATACCAACGGCCATGTATAACATCGCTGCCTTCTTGCCACCACAACATCAGCAACGTAGGTAGTGCATGTGCATGGTCCAACTGTTATGGGGAAGACTGGCTACTGTTTTTATTTTTTTGTGATTTCTTTAGATTGATTTGGTGGTGATGATGTAATAATGTTCATGTGTGTTTCATTAATAATGTGGATTTGTAATTTCTTTAATACATATATTTTATTTTTTTTATAGCCTGGAAAAGAAATAAAACATAAAACTAAAGAGAATTCTTGCAAGTTTCTTAGTTAAAACCCAAAATAGTTTCATTCTTGATTATTATCAAAACCATAACCTTTAGTAGTAACCCAACCCAAATAATGAATACCATAATCTTAGCTCTCTGCAGAAGCATATTCTACAATGAGTCGAGTCAGCCTGAGCTTTATGCAAATCATCCCTGGCCTTATTCAATCTTTGTTTTATGCTCCCAGCTTCCTTACTAAACTTCCTGATAAGAGGCTTAAGTCTCCTAAGCTTATGCCAAAGAATGTACATAGGAGTGTCATGAATCTTTTCTACATCCTTCCATAATTTCTTCCTTTTTTCAAGCTGATTATGAGCTTATATTGCAGTTAACTAGAACTGAAATCCACCATTTGTATCAAAGACTCTCCATAATGAATATATTGACTAGAACTATCAATCATTTTGACATCTACTTTAGAGTTGTCCCAATCCACCCACAATCTACCATTATCATGAAAATTATAGTTTTCTAACCAACTGCCTTTCATCTTGAGCTTTTCTCTAACCTTTAGAGATTTATTAACTTTGAATCTAGTCTCAATCAATATAGAAATAGTTGGCCTAAGATCTAAGAGATGGGAGCTAATCTCCATGCAATTAAAATCATCTATCTTTATTGTTAAAAATCATCTTCAAACCATGCAATTAAACACAAAATACTACTAAATGATTCTAAAATGTATCATCAAGGAGGAAGAATACACCTTATGAACAAAATAAATAAAATATATATAGAAGAAATTAAAGAACAAATCTGAATTTATCCTAACCCAACCTAAAACCACGAGACTTATAACTAGTCCTCAAGGATACCACATTTGTTGGTGAATATAGGGATAGAGTAGTCTAGAAGGGGAATTGAATATGAAATGGCTCCTAGGATTTTACTGTTTGTCTTATGTTTATTTTAATCATTTTAATAATTGAATCTCCTCTTAGTTAGGTCTCTGGACACCGTAGCGGTAGAAATGTGCAAGACTAATCCATTGGATTGACTAGACTTTATACAAATCAAAATAAAAATCGTCACCGCGCTTTATTGTTTCCAAAGGAATAGGAAAAGAGCGAATAACCCAAAAAGAGGGGGAAAGATTCAAGGTAAGGGGGTTGGTTATGCAAAGGGAAGGTATTAGCACCCTAAACATCTACGGTACTCCGCAGGAACCTCTTTGTAAAATATGTATATTTTGGCTATGAAAATGTGTTATAAAAATAGATGGTGGAGGTGAGAAAAGAAATATTTTTATGATTTTTGCACCCGCCGTAGTTGCGAACCTTTAGTGCCTACGTACCACCTTTCGTGCAATAGGGGATCAGGGTACACGTAGTTCATCTAGAAAAGACTTGTTTGTTGATTGTTTTTAAACAAGGAGACAAGTCGTCATTGTTAGGAGAGAAATCTCAACTAACGCCCACAAGGTATGAGAAAGATGGACCCTGCGTCAACAAGAGTGAGGGTTTGAGAACGCCTCTAGTACTCAAGTGGAAAAGTAGACACCTTTATAACCATAGGGATAGGAGAATGTTGCTCGACTATCAATGAATCATGTCTCATCTTGAAAAAAGTTTTGAAGGTAAAAGGTGCTCGAGCGCACAAAAGAGTTTGAATGATTTGAAGTGTATTTGTTAATTTTGAAAGAAATGTCAAAGTATGATTAAATGAATTGAAGTTTGTTTAAAGAAAATAAGTTTTAAAAGAAAAGGCACTCGACAAAGTCGAGGTTTATTATGAAAGCGGTTCGAGTTTAAAAACAAAGAAGATTTTGAAAGAAGATGAGAAGGTTTTTAAAATTAAAGAAGATGGGAGGAGATGAAGGGACTATCCTAAAGCATAAGGTAAAAGCTAAGGAAGAGAACCGTCTAACCAACATGAAGCCGATACTTGACATTATAAGCCAATGTAGAATTCTCATTCTTTAAAGTGAAATAAAGCAAGAAAAGATACTAGACCTCTTGAGAGAACCATGATTTAAGTGTATCAAGTCTTTGAAAAAATTGGGCAGAGTAACAGCTATATACGGGTGAATTCCATATTACAAACAAAGTATGTAATCACAATAACCTGCACACAAAACAAACAAACAACCCAATGTCTTGAGGTAAACCTCAAGAATTCCAGACAAAATAATGAATTAAGGTCACAAGGTCTCCAAGATAGGCCAAGGTCTCTAATCCTAAGTCCAAGAAGTCCAATGTTCCATAATGCCAAGGATAGTAACCAAATAGTCCAACTATCATTAAAGATTTTTATGGTTCATATTGATTATTAGGTGTCTTTAAAAAGAAAGAAAAGCTCAAGTGAGCAAAATAAAAATGACATAAAAGTAAATGCTCAAGTGAGCAAAGATGAAAATAGCATGAAATGTAAAATGCTAAAAGTAAATGGTACATAAAGCATGAAAATAAAAGCGTAAAGTAAAGTTAATTGTTAGTAATTAGTGGTTAGTTGGATGACCATCTTGAAACTTTCATTTGGAACTCATTAGAGGATTGGTAGAACCAAAGCCTCCACACAACAAGTTGCATTTGCTTTTTGTCAAGTATATCATCCATTTTGGAATTCTCACAAGTAACATGTAATGATCAACGATGTTTAAGTGATCCGCGTTAACCAAAGGTGTTGTAGATCCATTAGAGGATTGGTAGAACCAAAGCCTACACACAATGAATCTCAAGGTTATTGGATCAAAGAGATCAAATTAACATACTTGGGCTTGCAATCATAAGTTTGGGCCACGAATGATCATTTATTCAAATCGGGACAAAATTTAGCGCTATGTTAAGCAATCGTAAGTGGACTTATGTAGAAGTCACACCTATTTTGAGGCCGGTCAATAGCAATATATGTACTTCATGTTTGGATAAATGATATAGAAATCATCATCCCTTAACATGTAGCACAATTAAAAAAGAAAGGGATAAGATGAAGAGGGAGGGGAATGATAAGCTAATTTGGATCACCATTTCAAAATTCTTTCATCTTTAAATTAAACCACTCCTCTAGATGGATTAAAGCACTAAACATATCATTAATCCAAAGCACCAAAAATGAATTAAATAATTCACTCTTAGGTAGATTTGAATTGATGAACATTTATCCAACTTCATCTACATCACAAAGTCCATTGAGTTTAAAGACAAATTGGACATTTAAAATTGCAATCCAAACCAACAATCAAAAGGAGTGAGTAGAAAAATCATTTTGGATCAAAGCTGCCCCAAAACAAGGCAAAAAAGTGCATTCTGTCTCTGCGCAGTCGATTCCAGTAACTGTGCAATCGATTGCACACAGTGTTATTTTCAAAAAAATTGTGTGAAACGCTTCTGTGCAATTGATTGCACAGTTACTGCAATTGATTGCACACTGTTACAGTAGCAAAAACAGCATTTTAAAAGGACAATTTCTTGTTCAAACTTTCCATCAAACACCTTATGATCATGGATCCAATTGAGCACGAAAATTCCATAAAATTATGAGAAAATAATACCATTGGAATCACAAAATAATTCTCAAAGAATCAAACCCAAAGATCAACAAGTGATCACATTGTGAAAGATGAATTATCCAACTTACCAAAGGTAGATCTAGAGAGTTATTAAAACAACTTCAAGAATTTGCTTCAATTCAACCACAAGAATCAATTAACCAAGCTTGGATGTAGAGAATTGATGGAGAAAAAGTGTTTTGATGAAGGTTTAGCTCAAAGATTAGTAAGCTTCAATGCAAAACTTACTAACTTTTTGAAAATGGAGCTTTGAGTGAATTTGGTAGATGGAGAGAATTGAGAGATTTTTTAGCAAGGTGGATTTGGCTATCAAAAGCTTGAAATTTGAAAGAAATGAGGGCTCTATTTATAGAGTTTAGGATTGGGATTAGTGGTAATTTGGTAATTGATTCTTGGAGCCAAAATTTGAATTAATGATAATTCTTTCAAATATTATAGCCAAAATTTGAATTAATGATAATTCTTCTTAAAAATGAAAAATTGGCACTAAAATTTGAATTAATGATACATCTTTCAAAAATGAAGAAAAATTGGAGCCAAAATTTGACAATTTTAAAATGTTGATTTTTTTTTCAAATTGTCACGCTGTGCAATCGATTGCACTATAGTGCAAATCGATTTGCACAGTGTGTTTTTTCAAAAATGGCACAAAATGCACCTTGTGCAATCGATTGCACTCTAGGAGCAATCGATTGTACAGTGAAAAAATGATATTTTTTTAATTCTTTTTCTTTGCAAAATAGAGATTTTAGGAAAATAATACCAGAAATCCTTATTTGTCATATGCTTCAACTCGGTACCTACAAAACACAAATATGCAAAGACAAAGACAAAGACAAATATTTTTGTATTTTAATTAGAAGTTAATCAATAACAGAAGAGCAAACTTAAAGATAGGATGCAAATGTGATGAATGAAGCTATTTATTAATGATTGTGACTGAATGACAAAATAAGGTATGAAAGTGCGACTGAAAAAGTTAGGGGGGAAATTTAGGGTACAACAGCTGCCCCTATTTAATTATCTTTTAGCCAGATAAGCGGAAAGTAATTAAATACAAACAAACCTGAATTTTGTCCCTAATGCGATGAGATGATAGCATATGTCATGAATGAATGGACTCTTTTTGACATATTTTTTTTGAATGATGTATGAGATGAGACAGACTCTGTGGGAATATGGAAAAACTTGAAACTGGAAACTTATGGTAGTTCAGATGAAATGACGTGGAAAGAGACGCCGGGGAACAACAAGATATTTCTGGATATCTGTC